CATTTTTTTTAAGTTTTATATATATATACATTTGAATAACTAAAAAATCATAAATTACACATTAATACCATAAAATTCCACTATAATATATCTAGCTTAGTAACTAAAATGTAATTTAGTCTAAAATACAGAATCCTTATACTCTGCTTAGGTGGGAAAATAAGTAGCATTTATGCAATTTATTTTGGCTGCCTTCATACTTCATAATAGTTAGCAGTAAACAAAAAGATAGATGAAAACAAAACAATTTTTAAGTGCACCAAAATTAACCTGTATGCAATTTTTTTTTGTGCTAATGATAATTTATTATTTTGCCATCTGTGTCCTACAAGCATCACTGAATCCCATGAAATTCCCTAACTTTTCTCAGTTTTTGTCTATAAAATGAAATTTCCTGATACTTCCTGGGCTGGGAATGGAAAGTATAAAATTTAGTAAATATTCTTGGTTTCCCTAACTGTTTTAAATATACAGAAGATTGCCTTTAACTCTCTCGCTATGATCTTGGTTAAATCGCCTGAGCTTGTGACCCAAATTCACCTCTACCATTTCCATACTATAACTTCTAATATGTTTTGTGTATCTTAAAACAATTTTGCCAGCTTTCAGTAAACATTATAAATCTTTCATAGACAAGAAATCAGAATTTTTAATGAAGTACTCTTACTAATGAAGAGAGGATTTTCTAATTTATGGATCTGTAAACAAATAAAATTGAAGTCTATAAAAAGTTTGCTTTGCCTGATAAATAAATATATTATAATGAATAATTTATGTTAAATTCCATACTTCTGGGAGAAGTGGTAAATAAATTAGAGAAGAGGGGGCACCTAGAGATCAAATATGACAATTCTCACATTCGAGTGAGATTGAGGACATTTTTAAGTATTTTCTTATAAAAGTAAGAGCTTAAAACTTATGCAATATTAAAATTTAATTTACTAACTACATTTTGATGCCAAGTTTATTCATATACATTGTAAATAAAGTTTTTTAATCAAGCTTTGAATGTAACTCCATAAAATAGTTGTGACTTGTGCAGAAAAGGGTACCAGTAGTAAAATAGTTAAGATGTGTTCACCAAACAATTTCATTTTGTGGTTAAAATTCAAGTTTATAGATGTTACTGTAAAATAACATCAGAATGGATATTAAGATACACCAAAATCATTCTTAGTAAGTGGACTGATTATCTTCCAAAACACTCGGGACTTCATTTAAACTGTGGTTTAAAAATTCATTCTTTGCCTTTACTGATCAATCAGTGGCAGCTAAACTATAAAACAGGTAATTTAGAAAAGACCTGACAATTTGTAATGCATCAAAACATCGTCAAGATTTCAATGTAAAAATTAAGCTCTTTACCTCAATAAGAAAGAGAGCACTGCATATACAATCACTGGCAGCTTCATGTACTGGTGATGGAGTATTTGAGTTTACCTACAAGAAAAAAATCCAAACATGCAGACTGTTACTCATTGTTGTAGCTGTAATATCCTACACTTTATGGCATATTCTCTACACATGAATATCAATCATTTTTAACTTAAACTAAGAAATATCTTCTCCATTTCCTTTACAATTAATATTCTTCTTTCATCTAATTGGTCCCCTGGTGGCTCAGTGATAAGTCTGAGGGCTTATAAGGCTAAAACTGGGTTTTTATATTCACAGTAAACACAGCACAGATAGTCAATTGTGTAGCTTTGTGATTAAAAATAATAATTCTTATCATTGGGACTTATACAGTTTTAATACAATACCTTCTTGATATTTCTAGTACCCAATAATGACTTTGTGTAAAGTTTCATAAGGGTTCATATAATATTGCACTAGCTACATTTACTTTTAAAGTAATAGACTAAACAAAAGGAAGCTAATCAACACCACCCACTACCAACTCTTCGACTATTCTCATCAGTCCAAATAATGGGATTTGAACATTACTTTTATAATACACCCATGGACCAATAGTGTGTTGTTGTTTTTTGACGATGGATACAAACCATGGAATCTTAGCTCCACAATCTGGCATGCTGCACTCATTCCTAGGTATTATTAGTAATATCTAACATTTTTCTTATAATTACAATATTAATAACATCTTACTTTTTCAGGTATAACTAACTAACTGTTGGTTCTAGTACACTCATCTTGAAATTTTCCAAGGGATTTCTAACATACCTTAATATAGAACCTAGTCTATATATGGGTAAAAAATATTTACATCAATATAAAATGATAATAAATACTATACGTGTAATACAACTTACAAATTATTTCAGTTATTCTACCTCAGATATTACAAAACTTAAATTATATCTTTACAATACTGGTAGCAATTTCAACCAATGAACTGCAAAATTGTAAGTTCTTGTGAGTGAAAAATCTTAAAGTATCTAAAAGCACAAGTTAAAAAATTAAATTGATAACCTTAACAGTGAAAGTATGCCAATACAAGAGTAAATGACACTCAATCTACTAAATTACCAGGGCATGAAAAACAACATTCAACAGGGAATTCAGGTGTTCTTCAGATGATGGTACAACTCCTAGAGACAACCAACTACCAAAGCAACGAAACACACGGGTTTGAACAGTGGCATTGTCTACTCCCAATGTATGTAAACAAGTATTCTGGAAAATAATTTACACAAACACTTTGTTATTATATGAACTTTTAACATATAATACAATTTTACCAAACATCTAATCTGAATATTTTAAATATATTGTGATTTCAATGTATAAAGTTAAATTTACTTTAAAAAATAAGGACTCAAAAAGCCCATGAAATTTACTTCACTATTTACAAAAACATCATAAATTAAGTTAGCTATGGAAAGTAACACATCACAATCAGTACACAAAGAAATATCAATAAATAGACAGGTAAGCAAACAGAAAGATGAATACTTATTTGCATCAAACCTTAAAATAATTTCAACTGTTTGTGAAAAAACTTAAAATCAAATGTTTCACTTCAATATCATTCCCATACACTTAGTAATACAGTGATGTTAATTCACTTTCATCACATTTTTTTTTCCTAGTTCACACGTACACACTAATTTCAAATATGGTTTACGTTTTGATAATTTTAAATTAACCCCAAAACTCTTATTTTATCACCATACAAAAAATTGCTCCCTTATAGTGTTATGTTGCTTATACTATTACACTGACCTCAGGCTAAAACAGACAAAATGATATATTTATGGTTCATAAAGCCCTATTAATACAGCTCAAAAATTAACATTTTTATGGATAGAAATAATAAGAGTGTTTCTTACTCAATACACAAGTCCAGTTTGCACTTAATACATTCCATTGGTTCCAAACATATTTAAAATTTCCAAAGCAATTGCTACATAAACCTTTTTGACCACAAGGCTAAAAATAGATAAATACACAATATTGTGTAAAGTAATTTACAATAAAGTTTAAATCCACACTAACAGATGAATACCAAATTTAAATGGAAACTAGTTTCAACATTTCACATGTCCTCTTCAATCCAACATTGTACTGAAGAGGACATGTGAAATGTCGAAACTAGTTTCCATTTTTCCGTTAGTGTGGATTTAAACAAAGCTATAGCTTTTCAATTGAGACAGCTTGTTCATTCCAACAATTCAAAATCAAAATTTTACTTTGTAAAGTATAATTTAACACAATTGAAGACTAAATGACTATTTCAAACATAGATATGAAAGAATTAAAACATAAACTTTATTTCCTGTAATTCATAATGTTTAGAACCAATCCATGAAAGCATATCAAATAACCTATATTTCAAAAAGAAATTGAAAAATTGTTAACTTACCTGATTTCAATATTATTTCAGGCAATCCTGATCCAATTAACATCACAATGGAAATGTTTTACAAGTTAAAAGCAACAACAAATTATACTAGACATTAACATCTTTATTTCTTGTATAATGACTAAATCATGAAATCAATCAATCAGTCATACCAGCAGCTGCAACACTTGAGGTTCCACATGACTGAGAGATTTAAGAACTTCAGTTCTACGGTTGGCTCCGAGTCGTAGAGATCGACTATTCACCTAAATAGAAATAAAAGTTAGTCATATTCTTCAAATCTCATCATTTCACTTTAGTTCTTAAAACTTAATATACAATAAATGAATCTATGATAAACCTAAAAGAAAATATTACAATTAACAAACATCAACATAACATTAATGAATGCAGTAAATGTGAATATAAAAAAATATTCTAAAAAGACCAAAGAATTACAGCATGAACAGTGATAGAAACACAAAATTTACCATTCCTTACTAGCCTCTGTAGGAGAGAAGACAAGTAATGTACATACTGAATTGTTTTTGTTGTTTACTTACTTGTATCTTCCGATATCTTTTAAATGGTGAATACCATACTATGTACATACTAAGAAATCATGCAGGATCAGCATAATGTATTGCAAAAACAAGAAACACAATAACCCAGCGGCTTTCAGAATACATATTTTACTTCATAACTAGGGAAGAAGGTTTATGTTCCAAAATTGCTTGGATTATCATTTTCTTGTTCTGTGAAACAGTGAAAATATTTACTTTACCCTATATTACACTTACAATATCACATAAATAAATACTACCGTATGCATTAACAATTTAAACAACATTGAAAAATATGATGATTGTAAATATTTTTGAACTGAAGTGCAATTTGCAAAAAAATACTCATCTCTCAGATCATTTTTTTCCTTTCAGGCAAACTTTTATATAGACTAGCTTACACCACAATTCTAGACTACTTACAAATCCTTTTAGTGTTAATCTTGTAGCTATCTCTTTGTACATCCTCACATGATAAATATAGCTGACATCATACATAGTAAAGGAATCTTTTACTAATCTTATTAGAGCCAGTCACTAATTACATGATACCTAAGTTCCCATCCCGAAAGGACCTCGAGGTTTCTCATACTAAGTTAAATCACCAGATGAAGAGTAATGAGAGTAGTATGAATGACAAGAAATTTTCTAAACACAATCATCTTACTACTTAGATCTTAACTGAAGACAGAGCTTTCAGAACAATATTACAAAATTATGCATATGGAATTGAAAATAGCTTTCTCCTAATGAAATTCAAAAGTTTGTAACAGTTAAAACAGCTCTTTGTTAGTTCAACACTTAAAGAGAGATTCTACTAGAATGTACAATAAGCATAAATGGTTTCAAATACAGTTATTTTGTACATTTATTTCATTATACATCTTTCAGCAATCTAACCAAATATGTCGTCATCTCTGTAACCACCAGTGAAATTCTACTTTATCCTTAAAAATAAACATATATAATAACTAAAATTAGCTAACATTCTAAACTGTAATCAAAAAGGGGAGTCCAGATGAAAGAAATTCAAATACAATTGATCACAAAATGCATGTGCTCTTCCAAACAGAAATATGAAAAAAAAGGCACACACAAAACTCGACTTATGATATCAGGTGTACACTATAGATTCATTTGTATGGGAATGAACAAGACTTTATGTATAAAACAAGGTATATCCTTCACAAATTGTACATCCAAAGTAGGAAACAGACATATATCTTTGGTTTGTCCAACAAACCGAACAAAAGAGTCAAGCAACATTTTGTTAGAACTTCCTGATTAAATAATCAACTCAATGATTGTTCATTCTCACCCATACAAATGAAGAGATTATGCATAAAAAAATTCAGTATCAAGAGAATAATGTCCAAAGCTTTCTTAGTTAGCCCAGTAATAGTAGTGACAGACAACTCACAAAATATAAAAGATCAAGACATTTTTCAAAATGACCAGACAGAATGACCAATAATTAGAAATTAATTATTCATTAACAGCTCCATATAAACACTGCATCAAACTGAAATGACAACAAAAGACCAAAAAAAAGGACTTTAAATCTAATAAATAGAGGAAAAGGAAGAACTATAAACTGGTACCACAGACTGGAAATCATGATTAAAACCTGTAGTAATAATGTAGAGCAAAACACAATATCTTGTTGTTTCCATTTGTCAAAGTTAGCAACACTTTCTCATCACTGCAGTAGTTAAAAAGGGCACCAAAAGCTGCTCTTAAAAAGTGATGCCCTAAAAGAGTACTGTTTTTATTATGGAATACAATGCTTTTCCTGGCAATAAAAGGCATATCAGCATAAAATATTAACTTAATTAACAGTTTTATGGACTAAGTTTTTAAAAAACTTAGGTAAGTTGTAATGTTTCAATGCACTGAAGTAATCCTGATGAAGACTCACATAAGAACATCAAATTATAGCCTGAAAAAAAACCTAGGAAGTTTAATTTCTATCATTGTTTTCTCGTCCTTTGCTTCAGAAATAAACTTTGAAAAAGCACCTATAAATTGAAAAAAATAAATTTTATTTTACTACTCTTTAGGCAGATGCCCTTCATCAGGTTTGATGGTGAATATTTGCTCAAAACATAACATTGAAATAAATTTTACATCTGCAGATAGGTGTTAAAAATAATTCCTTTGTATGATATTAAACTTTACTATATTGCATGAACCGTCAAACTATTATCTAGACCTGCAAGTCTCTCAATTTCAACTACTCATCAACATTTTGATATCTCTTTCAATTATATAGTAACTTTGTCATTAATAATTCAAACTGTCAATTTCACATCATACTTGTTCTTTCCTTTAGTGGCAATCTTATTTTTCTGGTTGTATGAATAGAAATAAGTCTGTTATTGAGGCTTTAACAATACCTGTACATTTTCTTGTATAACAGTGATCTCTAAGGCCATTAACTTTTGAAAGCCCTTTGGATATTATGTTAATCTTTTACTTGATGCTTGACAACCTAATTCATTCATGTAAACAAAATTTTCGATTGCAACTCCTCCTACATTCACTCTTACAGCTTCTATACAGTTCTGCTTATTTTCTCCTAGTCCTACTGGTTAACTTAAACTTACACTAAAACATCGGTCTATTTCACTAGACATCAACAATTTCTGAATGCTCACTAAATGTTTCTTTACTATATTTTTCAAGGGTATTCTCTTGAATTTTCACCAATCCCTAAATTTTCCTCAGGATACTAACACAAACACACTTACAGTCCAACAGATGCTTCCAAAAAACTACACATTATAATTTCAGCTAGTTATTCTTGTACTAAAGTAAACTCCAGGCTAGTCAATCAAAAAATTAAAACAATAATGACCAAGCTTGATCAAGCTCGTAAAACATGATTATTATAAAGAATCAACAAACAAGTTACAGAATAATTGCATAAGTGTTCATAAAATACAAAACAAAAAACATCACTATCTAGTAAGTAAAAACTGATAATACAAAAACAAAATTCTGAGTATAATTTAAAAAAATAATGGTGATAGCCTGAATACTTAATAGTAAACCACAATTTAGTTCACTAACACTTTAATAAGTACAAGTACAATAATAAGTATAATAAGTGCAAGTACAACACTGGCTTACCACTCCATTTACAGAACAGTCCAAAAGACCTAAAACTGACTATAAAGTTAACCATATAAACATATGGAGAAATGAAAGGGTTTAAAAGCATCATAAAACAAGCCAAAGTATAATTTTCTAGAAAGTAAATTGTGAATTGTAATGTTACATGTAAAAATTTTATGTAAATTTTTAATTTTCAACAAATAACCTTACTAAATAATTTAGTAAAATCCCTATCATGATTTTGCCATTAGCTTCAAGCAAGCATATTATGACAATGTGGGACAACACAATAAAAAACTATCACTGTCTTGAGAATTTATGTTTAACTTTATTCTGGTGTGTCAGAAATCTAAATACGCATGAATTAATAATATCTAAGAGATGGGGAGAAAAAAAAAAGAGGAGTTTGAAGTAAACCAACTACACAGGTCTAACTGAATGAAGTTTGCCAAAGCTAACTAACCACAGGAATGTACAAACATAACATTTTCTGAAGGTCTACCTATAAGTGAAGTTCTAGAAATTATTGGAATGTACTACATTATATGAGAAAAATATAAAAAACATTAAATGACTTTTTTTTCCCTTGGAAAAAAATCAGAATCTCAAATTGTTAACCATTTCTTTGTCATCTATCATCACACATGCATCATTTTAACCCTTTCTAGGGTGAGGGTCACTGATTTTCCTTGATTCTTTTCTTTCTCAAAGTGGAAATACTTAAGCTAAATTGCATAATACTTAAAATGAAGTTACTTAAGGGTATCTACTTTCTGCTTCAAAACATTTCATATAATTTGATTTTGTTTTTCATCATTTTTTATGTTATGAAATTTCCAAAATTTTACCGTGAGGCAGTTAAAAACTATTTAAAATATTTCATTTTGTTTTAAAATTTCAATTTTCTTTCAAGTTGATCAGAAAGTTTCATTTTACATATTTAATCAGTTTCAATTATATTGGTATTCATTAAAATACTTATTTTGATATATTATTTTGCCAATTACAATAGTCACTAAGTTAAACCTGTTTCATTAAAAAGTTCTGATACAATGAGAACCATGACAACATTTCTGACATGGGGCAGACTTACGAGTACAATGCAGATACTTCACATGCCAACGTGTTTTGTGACAATCTTTCTAGATTACAATGCAAGTGTTACAGGTATCAACTATATAAAACTAGAATGTTAACTGAAATTTCTATATCTAATGGTTGAGATGTCATCCAGATGGATTTGTTTGTAACATATGAAAGCATCAGCAAGTCAACAGACTTTGAATACAAGCAGTAATTCTGTCTTTATTTTTCAAAACTGAATAAAGTGACCAAAAATGATTTTAAAACCTGTAAGCTTAAGTTTGCTTTCCTGTAGTATTTTAAAGTCATTTTTTTACTTCTTGTGCTGAAATGGTTTTTAATACCAGTGTTTAAAATAATCTAGTTAAAAATTTCTAATAAAAAAGGATGATTGTTTAATAAAAAATGAATGAAATATAGCATATTCAGAAAATTATGCTTAAGGGAAGTAACTATATCTCACATTCTCCCTATACACAAATGTACTTAATACATTGCCATCA